ATATTTATTTTTTTAGTTTGGACTCGATTTAAGATTCGGTCAGACCAGTTACTGTCAAATTCGGGTTTGAATATAAATAAAAATATTCATAAAAAATTTTAGATTGAAATATATTAAAAATTTATAATTTTAAAGACGACTTAAATTTAAGTTATTAAAAAAATATTTATGACTGAATAACCCTCAAAAATATTAAATAGTAAGTTTTAACTAATACTCCTGTCCTAAAACTTTCTTCCCACTTCCCCTTTTTCTCCGTCTTAAAACTACCTTCCCATTAGAAAAAAAGATGACAAATGACATTAATACCATCATGTATTTACACCAATTATCTTCTAACTCTATATTTTGAATGATTGCAAAAAATATTACAAAAATCTTTTTTAAGGAGGGTAAAATTTGAAGTCAAAGCCAAAAATTAAAAATGATGAAAAGTCAAACTGGGAAGAAATAATCAGGACGGAAGGAGTAATATACGAAGTACAATGAAAATAACATAGGAGTAACATACAAGATTGGTCCACGATAAAAATAAAACACAAAGAAATGTAATAAATTCTAAAACATTCAAAACAGGTGTACCAAAAATACATGAAATATAGGAATTTAGGGTTTTTAAAATTTATTGAAAGTCGTGTACATGTCGGGTCGGGTCAGGTCAATTACGGGTCGGGTCAGTCAAGTATACTGACCTAAGCCCGACCCGACAAGAGTCGGGTTTGGTTTAATTTTTTTCATGTTGGTTTTGAATATTTATTTTTCCAATTTGGATTCAGATATTATAAGCTCCGACTGGATCAGTAAAGGTCGGATTCAGGTGAAATTGCCATCCCTACACTCGAGTCAAGTCGCTTCTCCTCCTCTTTCTCATTGGGGATAACAATTCCCGCCCGACCTAATTAATAATCCATATATTTGATCCACTCTTGTGGATAAAAATCCGAAAGAAAATGATAATGGATGGACTAATGATACATTAGATTGAATATGGTTGAAAATGTTTCTCGTTCGTCACTCGACCCATCACCCGGTACATTCATATTTATTTTTTAAAAAATTAAAATTGAAAACATTGTCTTTGTTGCGTACATAAGTTTTTGTCTAGTTTGAATGCTTAATTTTATAAAAACCTAATCTGTAGCTTAGAAGATTATTATTTCTTTACAGGATTTTATCGTAAACATTTTTAATATTTTATCTTTCTAATATTTTTTTGGTGTCACATGCTTCAAAAGTTTTTCTTTTCATGATATTAATGATTTAAGATTTATTATTTATATCACTCATTTTCACTGGCTTCATCCGCATGTAATGGATGAGTTGGGTGGTAGGTGATGTATGTAAGAATGTAACGAATGATAGATGGATTGATTGATGAATATGGAGTCGATAGATAGATGAGGCTAAAGCTCCATCCGACCAAAATTCGATCGGTTGCCATCCGTGCTTCTCATCCTCCTTCTCCATCTCTTATTTTTCTCAAATCCTTCACTTTAATTTTAATTTTAGTTTGCATCAAATATTCGAAGTAGTTTTTGGAAAATTAGATGGTACAACCATTATTTACATCATGGTAAAGTTGTAATTAAAATTTATTTCAGAATGAACACTACATTATTTTAAAATGAATACTATGTTATTTCAAAATAAACAATATGTTGCTTCAGAATGGATACTATGCTGAGCAGACTTCAAAATGAACACTACGGTTGAAAATGAACATTCTGTTGATTCAAAATGACATTCTATTAATTTAAAAGGTCTATACTCATAAAGGGCACTACATTTCAGGGTTTTTAATGGTGACGTGTAATGTGTTAGACATTGTATTATTGCATAAATGTTTGTAGGAGTGAGCAAGAAAACTGAGATTACCGAATAAAAAATAATCAAACCGAAAAAGTACCAAAAAAGAAACGTATCGTACCGAACCAAATGGTCGATCCGATATTTGGAATCGGTACGTGGTTATTTCCCACACCAAAAAATCTGGAACCAAACACACCCACACACATATATATAATATCTGTGTGTGTTATAAAAATAATAATCTTTTTATATTTCTTCATAAAATAATAAATTGATTTTGAAAAGTTAGTTCAAGTGTAGATGAATTGCAAATAATCTTTTATTTAAATAATCATTTATTTGAATTTTAATTTTTTGTAGTTGAATATAAAAAAGATACTCCGTAACAAACATTTGAAATACTATTTTGTTATTGTTGGAATTTTTAGTTAAAACTGGACATTTTCGGACATAAATTCCGTAGGATCAACAAAATTATTTTCCGAAATAATTATGGACGATTAATCTTGTAAGTGAGATGAGTGCTTCAACATATTACATGCCAAAAATGGTGCTCGGTGAATGAGAAATTAATTCACAAAGTCGAACACGTAGAAAGAGTAAAAACTCTTGTCCCACACCGGATCTTGAACATTTCATATTCTCATATTTAAACTTGAGCATTTAATTGAATTTATGAAGGGAACAAGAAAGGACTCCTCGCGTGCCGCCGCCGTCCGTCACGACACACGGGGTGGGGTGGGGCGAGGCGTACGCACCGTGCCCGCGCCTGCGGCGTGCCTATCTTTTTACAAGACCGAATCGAACACGTGTAAGCACTTCGTTAACGAAGTGACGAATTAATGAGCATGCATGTATTTATGAACGAAGAGTCACTCGACTCCTCGTAATGTCCGTCCGCCCAGCCATTCAACTCCTTTATAAGGAGGCCGCTCACTAAAGAGATAGAGAGAGATTTCAAACACGAAAAATTCCAACTTTCCAGTCAGTTTTTCCAGCAAATACTCTTCGTTATTCACGTTCGCCGGTGCATCGTTCTACCGTTCTAGACTTTGCACGCTGCGATTTTGTCCTGAGAAGAGATTACTCACGTTTGCCAGTGCGGGAGGCGGGCAATACTACCTTAAAGAAAGCTCCGGCGACTCCGCTTTCCTAATCTCTAGTTCGAGAAACTGCTCCGGCGATCCCCTACCATCCGTCCAACGTACCTACCGCCTCTGACCGTTCGTGTTCTTGCTCCTGCCCGTTCGTGTTCTTGCCTCTGTCCGTTTGTGTTTGAGCTTCTCGAAGATTCCAATTTTCTTTATTTTATTTCCATTGTAAAATCCGAACGTTTTATAAGTTCGGATTATTAGTTTTTATTCCTGCTAATTTTTGTAATAGTTATCATTCACTCTCTTTTGTTTGTGAAATACGAATTATGAATTAAACTAAGTTTTATAAGCGTTTCTTGGATTTAATTATTCATTTTTCAATTTTTTTTATCTTTCCTTATGTGAATGTACTTTTGGTTTTTTAAATAAATTTTTTTTATATATTTCAAAGTGTAAACTATGTACGTATATATATACATCCTAATATTTACCAAAACCAAAACTGAACCATCCTGAACCATGCCGAATCGATACTTCGGGATCTGAATCGGTATGATGTAAAATTTTATATCGAACCGAAATATTTGGTACGGTATCAGTACGTACCAAATACCGTACCACGCTCACCCCTAAATATTTTTATTGCCATGATGCATGCTTTTAGTAATGCCAACCACTTGGGAATTTAATGAAATTTCAAGGCTAACCATGAGACTTATTCAAGTGTTCCAACAAAGATATTAAGACTTAGGGCCAAAGCTTTTATGTTATAATAGTCTAAAGACATCAATTTAATGGGATGTATTCAATCGAGACTCTATATGATTGTTCAGGAGTTTAAAAGTCTCTTTGTATTCAATTGAGATTTTAACATTTTAAATCTGTAGATATTCAACACAGATTTTAAAAAATCTTTCTAAATATTTCCTGTCTTTTTTCTGAAAGATCTCCGGCGTTCCCGCAGCCAGTGGCGGAGGATTTCCCGTTGAATGGCGTATCAGAACCCCGCCCATCCTTCCCAAACCTACATTTTTTTGAGTCCATCGACCAGCGTATCAGAACCCTCATCTAGAATGGCGTCAAAACCCGCCATAGATCCATTTTCGTCATCGTTGGAGACAAGTCCCGCGACCAGGTACTTGGATTCATTTTAATAATTCAATTTTTCATCGAATTGGTATTCAATTAGCACAGAGATGATATTTTTTTTATTTCCTCATTGTTTTGGAAGTAGATTGTGAACCTGCACTCCATGTTATGTTCGAGATCCGCGAGATGAGTACCAGCCTGTTCCCGTTGGTGTCGAGTATTAACAGCGCCGTCGTCCCGAATCTTGCGGCGATGGCTGCCGCACTGTTCCCTCGGCTGGACGCTGTTTCTTTGTGTATTTCTTGAACATTCAAGACTTCGTTTGATAACAGCGTTTTCGATTAGCGTTAGCGTTTTGGATAAAATTTTAATGGTGTAGATTAAATCTAAAAACGCTAACGCTAAAGGTTACCGTCGGATAACTTTTTGAAAACGCTAACGCTAATCTCTAACGCTGATGCCAAACGGGGGCTTTAGTCGTGCTTATCAAGGTGCTTATTTGATTTTGAGGTGCTTAAATTTTGTAGTGCTTATTTGATTTTTTCTTGATTCTAATAATATGCATTTATTAAAAAAATGAGATGTTTGATTTAATATGGATAAACAAAAAAGATGAACAAACATAGAATTGGAAACGGGAAATCTATCTAAATCAATAAACAAATCTCCTCAAGTATATCAAATTCCATATAAATCAATAAAAGAGTCTCCCAAACTCTGCATGGATTCGATAAATTTTCTAAATCTACCGACTTCTTAAAGTCCAAAAAAATCTTACAGACTTTTAATTAAATACACTCCCCTTATTTGTTAAAGAATATAACTCATATAGACCTTATGTCTTTCCTTCTAAATTCATACTTTTGCAAACAATTATTTCAATAGATTAATGATAGAGGAACACCAAATGGTGCGTCCCATCTGTACACCATTGTTTCTTACCACACATTTTTTATTATATATTTATTAATTTTTCTATACCAAATTTAATTGTGTGGTGGATAGGCTTTGCCGCTTCGAGGACATTTGGGATACACATCTTGAGGTTTGATCTTTCATAAGTGGCATGGCCGTATCTAAGAAATTAGAGGTCCTGGACAACTCCGAGAAAATAGGTCATTGTGTCATAATAAAGTTAAATCTATAAATTATATTTTTAACAATAATAAAAGTTACTCTCTACGATAGTAATAAAAATAATAAAAATTCAAATCCAGAGTCTTATAAATCTATAATTACATACCTTAATGACTAGGCAAAGATTCACAAGTTTTTCTAGCATTCTTAAGTGCAAATTGGTTGATGTAGAATTTTTTCTGTAACACAAATTTTCAAATAAAATAAATTAAAAAAAATTAAAGTCAAACATTATAGACAATAGCAAATGGTTTAAACTGAGAGAGAAAGTGTAATGTAAATAATTAAATAATAAATAAATATATACTCCGTAATATATTTACAAAAAAGTGAGGCCCCATTTACAATTGGGCCCTATCCGAGTCGCCACTTTACCCTTGGCTTGAGCACCCTGATAAGTGATAAATAGACTTCAAACTTTCAAAAGTTGTAAAACAATCCTAACAGTCAAAAATTCGTGCATAATCAGCTCATTTATTAGAAAATTTGTGAAACATGTAGAACACACGTGTATTATATAAGAATGTGAATCATGTAAAAAATAAAAAAACCAATTAATATAAATTTTCATTTGTGATTTGTAAGTTTGAATCATTGTAAATATCATATATGGGTTTAACTCTTGCAATGACTCCATATCTTCTAAAGTGATATCCTTAAATTGTAAAACAATATTTTATGTATGTTCGGAATTATTTAACTTTTTAAGTGGTTTTATTCTATGGTATTGTCGTGTCATATAAGAGATGAGAAAAGACGATTTCTTGCCTTTAACTACAAAGACGAGGGTAGTTTAATTAGATTAATTTTTTTGTTACATGCTTTACATTTTTCACACAGTACACATGTGTTTTGTGTGCTTCACAATTTGCTCAAAGAAAGACTAACTATGCATCAATTTTTTTTACCACAATGATCATTTTGTACTCTTAATTTTTAGAAATGTAACAATTACATACTTACTTATTAAAGACAACGTGAATTATTTATGTATATACAATTATCGGTAAGTCTAAAATAACACCAATCTTACTGGTGTCATTTTTTTACATTAGTTTATTTGGGGTACCTACGGTACTCCGTTTGTAAAAATGACGGTTCCTACCTCTCTAACCCTCCCCTTAAACCCCCCACCCAGCCCCACCCTTGCCCCCCATCCCAGCCCCCCTCCCTGCGGCAGGGAGGGGGGCGGGAGGGGGGCTGAGGTGGGGCTGGGGTGAGGGGTTTAGGGGGAGGGTTAGGGGTAGGAACCGTCATTTTTACAAACAGAGCACCGTAAGTACTTCAAACGAACTGGTGTAAACAACTAGTGTATAAGTAACTGATATCATTTTAGATGCTTCATATAATTATTACTATTATTATTATTTAAAGTGAATTTGACACTTAAATTCCTCAAACACAAGTTTTAGGACGGATTTAGCACTGAGTATTTGCCTATAGAACACTCTCCTGCCGGCGTTGCAGCGGCACCTGCCACAGCTATTCTTTGAAGATTCAAGATTTCTCATCCTTTTCAATCAAGTTCTGATTTTTTTACCGGGATCTGCAAATTAAGAATGCTATAAGCCATTTATACATGCTTAAATCTGCAGTTTTTTTGGTGATGATCTTCACGAGTTTACGTTCCTGTGTTTCAATTTAATGCAGGAAGTGCGAAATTTCAAGGTGATCTCGTAATGGAAAACACTTCGGAGGAACCTATCTCTGCAACAGGTTTACAATCCAAATGATTTTTGGTACTGGTTTTTTTTAGTTGTCATTGAAGATTGACATTAAGGAACAATTGCTTCCCTGAGCAATTCCTTTGATAAATTAAGCAACCCATGCTCCACTTAGGCTCCACATCAATTTTTTTTAAAGTTAAGCAAATCCTTATGATCTTTCTATTAAGGATGCTCTAAGTGTGTAAAGCAGAAACTTAAATGATGGATTTTTTTATGGAAATTGTGTTTATTGCTTGATTTTTCTTTAATACCTTTTTTGTTGTATCAAGTATAAACCACATATATTTGCAGCACGAGATGCAACTTAGTATTAGGTATTTTTTCCTTTTGACCGGACCTTGAGAAAAAAGATAGTGAATGAACAATAAATCAATGTTTTTGTGAAGGAAAATTAAACAATCATATGGATTATAACTTAATTTTTTCCCGTAAGAAATCCACCAATCAAGCTGATATATCAGCAATCAATTTTTTTATGATTAATTCAGATGCAGTCAATTTATTCTAGTTAACTCCTCAAAAATGTAACAAACCCACCAAGTTTGACATCAAATATTAACTCTGTGTGTCATTGAAAATGACTGTCGGTATATGTCTATGTCTATCAAACACTTGGTGTCAAACCTGGTGGGTTTCTAGCATGACTCTCAACTCTTTTCTTTTACTTTTCTTTTTGGCATTTGTTTTCATTTTAGAGTTTTCCAACTTGATAAATGTGCAAACAGTATACATTGAAAATTTGAAATATTGAAGTGCATCTACTGATGCAAATATCCAATATGGTACTTCGCTGGTAGTTTTGTGTAAAAAATGTTAGGAGCAGCATATAACTCATGTTAATAAAAAATCTTAGTTTATACTTCCTCCGTCCCTAAATAAACTTCCCTTTTTGACTTTTTGAGGATTTAAGGGATGGATATTTTTGTGTTGACTTTCTAAAAATACCCTGTAAGATGTGATATGTAGATTATTAGTAAAAAGGTATGATGTGATAGGTAGGGTATGAAAAAGTAAGGGGTAAAAAGGGCTTTTTAAGGGAAAAGAGAAGTTTATTTGGGGAAAAAGAAAAAACGAAAGGGGAAGTTTATTTAGGGACGGAGGGAGTATTAACTAAAAAAGAAGCTTTTCATGTGTTTAGTTATGAGTCCGTCCCTTACGTCTTACTTGTAGAGATGTTTCTTGTTTTGTAGTACACTGCCGTGAAAGACTTCATCAGCTGAAAAATGTAGGCTCACTAGACTTTGGTGATTGGAAGAAGCTGATCGCAGAAATCGAGAAAATTCACCTTGTCAGTTTTATACCCATAGTGTCTGATAATTTGTCTGATATTCGGCTTTACATCTGAATGCTTCGTAAAACGTTTTTAAAGATAAGTTTCGGATTGCTTTAGTTGATGGTGTGATCATGTCAGTCGCCCCTGCTCACATTTACAGAAGTGAAGCCTCATGCACAATGAACTGTGCTAAAAATGCTTTAGGCATTTTAAATATTGATTTCTGTCTTTATGTGTCCACCTAGAGGTTGGCCATGGTAGTCGGGTACAAGGTAGAAGTAAGAAAATTAAACATCTGACTTGTATTGAAAAATGAAGAAAAAGTTGTTCCAGTTGGTGCTACACATATCTAGGTATAGCATAACATTCACAGAATTCGCTCCCTAGGCTGCGACTTCCGCATTGGTACAAATCGTACCCAATCGCAATTCGATGGTGATCTGATCGTAGCCGGTACGGTGTACCCTTTGACATGGTACAGCGTACCAGATCGTATCCATCCCTTTAAGTTCAAGGTTTCATTATTTATAACAGATCTAGTGTAATAGTGTTTCATTATTTATATCAGATTCATATCCATCCCTTTAAGTTCAAGGTTTGTGGCCAATTCGGAAGGGTATTTAAGTGTACACTGTACACATTTACACATTTGTACTGTTGCTTGATGTTACTCTTGCTCCTAGAAGCTTTGTGGCCATGGGG